CAAAGTCTGGGTGTCTCTGATTAGTTTGAGCTCAGTTATTATAATTAATGGTCTGTGTAGTGTTACAAGAATGTATCCGTATTGTCTACAATGCATCGTCGTGAATGTTTCTCGTAACGGCATCTTTTTTTTTTTTTTCGTGCTGTGTATCGATAAGTGACATCTATTGAAAATAGGCGCTAGTGCCTTGGTTCGTCACGCTGCGGACGACCTGGGCAACGCTTTTCGCAAGTGGCGCTTCCAAGTTTAGGTTTTTAGGTTTGCTTAAGTCTCTGGCTGTGTCTGCGAAATGGTTAGTTGTTCATTGTTGGAGCATTATAATGACACAGGAACGCAAGCTAAGGGATTGCAAGCTTCGCCATGGTTGTGTTAGGGCAGCAGCTCATTCGACCTTCCAAATATTGGTCATTTTACTTATTTATTTATTTATTTTCTGGCAGGATGTGGGCCGAACACGTTAGGCCCGCGTGGTGAGAAAAGCAGGTTGTGGTATTCAAGACCCGGTGGAATATCGCTTGCACGCGGTTAAGATGTAACTTGGTTCAGTACAGAAGCCGCAGTTGCAGGCATTGTATCTACATGCTTCATGATTAGCAGCTTCAACGGAAGCCGCACCCAGAACCAAGAACAGTTAAAAGGTTTTTTTTTTTTTGTTAACGCAGAACGGAGCATTTGTTTATATTTGACAATAACGGAAAGAACCGGGAACAGTTAACGGGTGCGCGATATTGTAGCGGTTCTTTATAAATAACCAAGCATCGATAAATATTACAAATAATAAAATTTAATGGAATTTTTTTCAAGCGCAAAATTTATCCTACCAAGGTTTATCGTAGGGGCACACCCTTGAGTTTCAGAGCGCACACAATTAACACTAAACGGCGCTTAGTACTAATTGTGTGCGTTCTGAAACTGAGTAGTTTCGGATGATACAGCCAATAACGAAAAGTGTTTCGTAAAACACTTCGCATAACCATAGTACCCGACAAACGAAGTGGTCTAAATATCAAATGAACAAGCACTAAAGTTTCGGTTGGCGAGCAGTCCAGTGAAAAGGCTAGCACTTGTTCCTCAATTCAAATGGACCACCATGTGCGGTGTGCGTTACCGGCATTATTGTTGACATATGGTAATACTCCATTCACTGCCAAGCTAATAGAGCGGCGTAAAAAAAAAAGCTATATGCTTGTTGAAGTTGTCATACGTCTAACTTTCGTTCCGAAAGCCTCACGAGTGTCCGCGAAGCAGGCACTTATTTCGTATTTGACTCACGGACAGCTCAAGAATCGATGGGCGGGGCGAGCACCGGCCATCTTATCACTGCTTCTCACCGAGTTAAATTGCGGCATTGGCCGATATGAAGGCGTACGAACGAATCACGCGAGACAATTTGGACCATAATCTGCCACGCCCCGTGGTTCTTAAAACGCCCGTGGCCTTAGGAGAAGAGGACTGATGGGAAATACGCATTTGAATAAATGGATGAATCAAACTACGCCTGAGATTAAGTTAATACTGGAAATGAATATTCCACAAGGTGGATTTTTTTTTTTTTTGGCACGCTGTAAAATATTGCGTTTTACTGCAAACCAATATGGCATTTTCTTTTTACATTGATTCATTTATGCAAACGCAGTCTAGCGCCATGCGCGCACTATTCTGCTGCCGATTGGGTGGTGAGGAAACTGCGTTCTCTCGTACTGCACAGCTTGGATACGGTCGACAAAAGCAATTTCAGCGCCAATCTTCGACGTTTATTTCCAGATCTCTCCGCGTCGCAGCAGGATTGGGACCGACATTGAACAAAAAGCCCCCCGCCTCGTATCGAAAGTCATGTTTTGTCCAAGATGTGCGCACCAATCCCACAAGTCCAATTTCTTATTCGATGTCTCAGCTTCTCTCACACACCGGTGGGCTTCTTTCTCTCCGACGTGTGTCCCCGAGGAAATAACGGAGACAGACTTCTTTCCTTTTTGTTATTATATTTTTTTTCCTGCTCGTCAACAAGTGCGACCTTCTGGTGACCCCCAAATTTCGCGTGAAATAGATTGCTCTTCTCTGCAGGTCCAATGCCCATTGCTAGCAGGGGAATCTTTTGTTTCACAATTTCAAGGCTGCAAGACATTTTCGGCTTGTCTTTTAACTCTGTCTCCGGATGTCGCGGATTGTGAAGTTAGGCTGAATATATATATATATATATATATATATTTGTATATTTTTTTTGAGCGGCAGAGGGGAAAAGTACTGACAAGGTCTATCTTTTACTATTTTTACTTCGCTCTTTTTGTTTGTCTGATTTTTGTGTTTGTTTCTGCAGTGCTGCAAGGGAAACATTTTTTTTTTATTGCAACAACCTCACGCAGTGCGTCTGGAAACACCTAATTATTAAAAACGATGTATCTTAGAGCTCATTGGTTGCTAGATTCATTTCAAACCGAACACTCCTGTCGGGGTAAGCCCTGAAAATGGCCTGACTGAAATATTTAAGTAAAAAAAATACCTTTATAAAGTAACAAAAGCGTCGCTTCAGGAGGAAGAGAGAGAGAGAGAGAGTAAGAGGATTAATTAAGAGTTAAGTGACTCTCTCGTTAATCTTATATGTTGTTGCGTGACGCTGCAAAATATGTACTTCGTTAACTAAAAAAAAAAACAAATCACGAATGTTGTTTAAATTACACCAAACTAGCAAATCTAACTCCACAAAACAAAATTAAAACGTCTCAAGAGCAAAATAGCTGATGATAAGGTTCATAAGAGATTACCCTGCGCCTTTGACTGAAGTGGTCATTCGGAATATTAGACAATTAAGATTAAAATGAGAAACACAGCAAACAAATAAAAAAAGAGCAAAACTTAAGTTCAGCTGCATTTGGGACCCCGTGTTCGCGGAATTTCAGACTTTTTTAAAATTTAATTCTAACTCTTTTATTATAAAGAACGATTATAAATAACGACCCGTTCGTCTGCAAGCACGCTTACCCTTCTATCATTTTCGAGGAGACATTAATAACTCCTAACAGCATAGGAATTTCAATACCAGGCATCAGTATACCGGGCACACATATTTCTGTTTTGTTTCCCGCGGTAGCTTTTATTCCAGTATAAAACAGACGCAACGTTGGCATGAAATATGAGGAAAGTATGTATTTACATACATGCCTACAGAGATTAAACTAATGTTTCCAAGGGCGTCTCTTTGCTTAAAAGGAAACAAACAACTAGACAGCAATTTCCACTAAATTCGAAACGCTATTACAGCTCTTTTCGGCTGTCTACCTAATTTACAAAAGCAGCAACAACAGCGGCTCCGACAACTGGGAACAATATGGCCCTCATGTAGGAATATTGCTTTATGCGTAACCTGCTTTATTGCACCAAAAAAGGTTATTCCAGCCACCCCAATTAAAATAATTAGTCTCGGGGACGAAACCTCGTCCTAAGTAAGGTTTTGACCCGTATATTTTTAGAACACTCCATTTTATATATTTTGCACATGGTCCTAATCCACAGCAAGAGTTGCAACGTTTCTGGTCTAAGCATATGTTTAGACCAAAAAAAAAAAAACGCAGTCCGAGTTGTGACATTAAGCAATGCAAAACGTGACGCCTTGCATCGCTGAATATCGCAACTCAGACTGCGTTTTTTGGTCTAAACATATGTTTCGGCATCGACATTCGCTGAGCTGCCTCCGTAAGTTGCGGTGATTGGCTCCCCAAATTTTGTGCAGGAAAGTACACGCACGGGCTTTTTTAGAGTGTATATCACGCGAACTGAACTGAAACTTAAAAAAAAAGAAAAAGTAACTGTGTCGCGTGTTTGTTTAGACAAAGAGAATTTAGTCAGTCCTAATGGGCGTTTAATGTCTCCACTGAAGATAGGTAAAACCTTTAGCCCGTGAAGTATTCTGCTAACCTGCGGCTTTAACGAGCATCCGCAGTAGGGATACACGACCGCACGCCGGTACAGCGCTCATTCCGATAGAAAAGAGTCAGGGGTGGGGATTGAGCCCAGGATCTCTGAGTTCTGCAACGCGAGCTTTCGCTTCATGTGCCCCGAACTGCGGCATCCTAACATACTCGGTCACCAATCTCCCCGAAGCTCCCTCAGTAAGTGTTGCACCCATACATAATCCAAAGTAGTTGACCAGCATAAACAATCCGCGGCGACCTCTCTGCTTTTTTTAAATTTTTATAATGAGCCATTTCTATTTCCCTTTCATCTTACGCAGTTCATGATAACACTCCCAACAAGTTATTGCCCCATGGATCTGATGGACGTTCAAGAACCTCACGCCTTTCTTTCCTTTGCTTCTATCCCCTCTTTTCCTTTGTTTTATCTCATTCCCCAAGACCCAGATAGAGACTGGCCGGTAAACGGAGGCCTTGAACTGTCTCTCTCTCTTTCTTTTTTCCTCTCCTTCACCCTTCTTCCCCATCCCATTTCTACAGACTCCGATATGAAGAAAAACGAAAAAAAAAAAAAGGTGCCTGTGCAAGCAAAGCATTTTGCAGAGCTATGTTATGCCTTTGCGTCAGGGCCATTGAGTGCGCAGGAATCGATTCGTGAGAAGAACGGTTGCGCAAATACCTTTCTTCGAGACATTTCTACAGTCCATTTTTGTTTCTCGCGTTTCTATTTTTAGCCCTCAAAGAGGCAAGGATATTTGGAAATGATCCTCGACTTTTTTTTGTGTGTGGGGATAGTCACGACTACAGGGCCACTAAACCCGCCAAACGAAACGTTCGGGCCGAAGTTGACGGAGCGCACACATTGGCCTACCACGACGGTGACTTCGCGCTTTTTTCGCGGACATTCGCTCGGAGCGCTCCGCGAACTTTGTGCTCCAACTTTGCGTTTGACGAGTTTAGGGCCCCAGGCAGCGTAAAAAAAAAAAAAAAAAAAATGTTCTCTCCTCTTGCCTTTCCACCAAACGGGAAAAAACAACAAGAAAAATGAAAAAAAAAAGAGTGAAGGTAGAAAGTGACAAAAAGAACACTCACATTTTTTGAATATCTCGGTTGTGAAAAAACGCCTTGGGAGAGACGTATTTGAGGCCACATCTGTGAATCGTCCTGGAAAAGAAATCAAAAACGAAAATGCAACTCGTGCGTTCTGACAGCGTGCGAAAACATCAACAACGGTGAATGGCCATGCACCCGAGAGAGCTGAAACGCTTAAACCGAGCACTGCAGCTTGGAATGCAAGCAAGCACCTACCGCGATACACCAACAGCTGACGTGTTGCGGCTGGCACCGCGTGTCAGCCTTTACTGGGGCTCGGTGTTTGTGCATATGGGAAATCGGACGAGCAGACATTTATTTCAACCGACTCGACGTGCACCTAGTGTGCGGAAACTCTCTACGTGCCTCCTTTACATTTACCGCGTGCCTGTCAATATAGAAATACCTGGTAATTAGTCCCCAATACCTTAAAAAGTTTTATTTAGCTTAGAGAAAAAAAAAAAAAAGGAAACGCCAAAGGTCATGAGCGTGAATGAAAGCGCCAATATAACAAATTAAGCTAAACCTTACGTACAACAAACAGAAGCCGTGTTCAGCTTGGCAAGATTACTATCAAGTTTGATTACGAAAGCTTGATGGGATTACATTTCGTCGTAGTGTGTCGTCGAAATTTCCAACTCTTGCGCATGCATAACAAAGTGATTGCGAGTGTTTTAGTGTCTGGCTTTGTTTTCAACGCCCTCCAGTGACGAAGCATTATAAATGAGGCTGCTTGATAAACTTCACGCTCAACAGAAAAGTTTCGAGGGGCTTTTAATTAGGGTGATGTACACCATACTATAAGCTTCGATAGCTTTGCTCGATAGCTTCGTGATTGGAGAGAGTGCCCAAGTAATTCCATGCACCGGGTGGAAAATGGTGAGAGGTCCTTACTCGAAGGCTTTGCATTGACTACATTCTGCTGGAATAGATTTCCGTTTACTAATTCTGCAACATAACTGACCGTAAAAAGCAAAATGAACGAAAACACCTTTCTTTTTTTTTCCGCGAAGAAAATTCATTAACATACACGTATTATTCGTGGTAATTTTTTGCAAAGTCAGGACTACATTTCTCGAGGGTGGCCTATTTTCGGAAGGGGTTCCTTAGAGTTCACATACTAGCTTTGACAGGTCTAAAGCACTGCGTTAAACGCGCTAGGTAACTCGTACCGTGCAGTAATAACTACACGAACGCACAGGGGTGCGATTCTCATCCAGATCTACATGGGCTGGGGTGGGGGTTGAACCCAGGACCTCTGGATTCTGCAGCGGGAGCTACGTTTAACGTGCTACGAAGTGCGATGCGCTGACACATCCGATCACCGATTTACCACGCTGGCTATTATCAACTATAGATTTACTTTACTCGAAAAAGAAAAACTTAGGCGCCGAGAAACCAATGGAAAGGAGGAAACGAGAGAGCGCAGGGGGACTTCAGAACGCCGAGCTTTTGTAATGATTAGTGAATAGACCTAAAGCTAACTGCCTTTGTGTTTACTGCACTCTTCCAACGCGTTAGAAGGGGGAATTCCAGCGTGCAGCGTGTGACATTCACATTTATTGATTGATCGATTTATGTAAATACATTGCAGGTCCTTTTGTAAAAGACAACGCGTAAGAGGGGGGGGGGGGACGTGACGGGAGGAGAGATACAACATTTTGTGATGGTACATATAAGAACAACTGGACATAAAGTGCAGCACACACAAAATCCGAACAAATAATCAAGAGAAATACAACATCTCAACATTTTGCAAATAAGAGTAACAATTGCTCAACATAGCATAACACAGAGTTGTGTTTGCAGACAGTTTTCTATGACGAATGTGACAAAACCGTCATACAAGAGGTAAACACGCCTCTGGCAGCAGGCTGTCTTTTTTATATAACGTGTTAGCAGTGTGACCACGATCTAAGGCGTGTATATACCGACAGTTTATTTGAAAAATTCCCAAACAGCTAAGGATCACGTTAGCAGCGTACCGTAAAGTCCCGCGTAGAGAGTAAGAGATTTTTTTTATGTTAGGGAAAACCCGCACGCAAACTTTACCACAAAGCATAACAATATAGCCAATCACTTCCGCTTACGGAAGTGATTGGCTATCGCTTACCCAGCCAATGCTAAGACGCCGATAACAATTAAATGGCAGAGCCAAATCACACTTCCGCGCGGGAACGGTGTCAGCGCCTTGTTCTTCGCTGCTCTCAATCCGTAAAGGGCAACAATATGATTGTACGTTCCCTGTGTGAGAGAAGATGTCCGGAAAATTCTGTTCTTTCGCGTTTTCGCGTGACATGGGATGTGATTGAACCCGGCGTGCGGTAAGAGTGCATGTCTTAACACGCGAGTCAGGTCCTGTTTTGTTGCGGAGTTAAAAGTTGCAAGCCTACACATACCTGCCGCCAGAAGTCGTTTGTAAGGATGGTCGATATTTAAATACCGTATCAACGTCGTTACTGTGCTCATAAATTAATGGGGTGTACGATTGCACCAATTAAAAAGTAACGCACGTCTAGGGAGCCTTTAATAAAAAGGGACAACAAACAAGACGTCTTAAATCGACCGTTATCCTGCTGCGCACAGCCCAGTCAAACAAAAGCATTTCGTTCGGCTGATAAGAGAAATTAGGCAAACAGCACGCACACGCCTTAATTTCTATTCATGTTGTATTTTGCTGCTACGGAATAACAATAATAATAGTGCGCGTTGTAGCGGAACGCGCGCTAGCAGCGAACTATTATTCTGTATCGAGTTTTGGGGATCAAAACGTCATATGAATACATGCGTCAATGACGCTTCCGCTGATGATAAGCAGCTGGGCTATATTGACGTTGCAGTTCGAAGCACTGCAACGTAAACCCGTGACGACTAGATTACGTCATAAGGTTCGTAGTTGTGGCCATTGTTACCGTTGACGTCATGTCGGCTGCACTGATTATTATTTGATGCCCTAGAACGGAAATGTACCTTTCATAACCGACGATAAAAACATTTTGGTTGGTACGAGACAGCGTATGAAGGACGTTTGTCGCAGGGCCCGGCCCATGCTGATTATATTTTGTATTGCGTATTACCTCGTTGTCCTGATCGGAATGAATACGCAAAGGATTCAAACGCACCGTATGGTGTTCCAATGGCGTTTTTATTGTGACCGGATAATAAACAAAAAATAAGGGGCACAGGTTCCGGCGTTACTCAAAAAACTCAACGCCGGGAGTTGCAGTTGTGAGCTCGAATGGGAGAGTAATTGGATTGCCCCACAAATTATCTTTTTTATAAAACAAATACACTTTGCAAGACCTGATGTGATTTGTCGAGGCGGTGCTGGCTTGTCCAAACCCTCCATTTTTGTGAAATATACTTGGACGGAAGAAATTATGCGTACGATGACAACATCTACAATGAGACACATCTGTTCAAGATGCGAAGTGTGATGTACCGACTCAGATAGATTAGATATTGATTTTACGGCTAATTGCTAGTTTAGCCTTATGTTGCAGCACAAAAAACGTCGTCCGAATTGCGAGCTAATAATATGCTTTTTGAGTACGGCTGCACGTCTTCTCAAAATATTAGGCACAGACGAAAATCAGCCACCTGCGTTAAGTCCTTATTTCGAACCCTTTTTGTTCACGTTCCACCCATTGAAAATTACAGCAAAAGGCCTGAATTACGCGCCTAATCTCGCCACCCCGCCGTCTCCTTCCACAGAATAAGGTCCGTCTGCTCTGGTCAGCGTCACCATGGCAACGAAGCATCTTCTTTATGAATGAACGCACGAATGCAGCAGCGTCTGAGGCCAGCAAAACGGCAGACGCCGTCTACGGAATGCCGTCTGCTGAAGTGGACGCGGTAACGCTAGCCAAAGTCGGACGCACTGTTGTGGAAGTCGATGCCGACAAAGGAAAGCGGTCGCCTGGTGACCTCTTGGCGGTCCCGACGAGGTTTGGAGCACGATCGAGCCTCAGAATAGTTTCCCCGAACGAAGCGAGAGGTGATTGCGCGTAGCGCTGTCTGTTTGGAAGCATATAGTTTTGGGCCCGAGTTAGTGTAATAGTGTCGGTTGCAGACGGTCTTTGGAACATGGCGCGGCTGTATACGACGTAAAGGTGCTGCGCTCGCGTGAGCGTCTATTGGCATTCGGTGGCATAGCAGGCCGACTTTATTGTGTGGAAGGAGACGGTGGTGGGCGACACAGGATGCGTACTTTGGGGTCTTTCGCCGCGCGTTTCAATGGGCGGAACGTGAACAAAGAGAGTTCAAGATAAGGATTTACGAAGATGGCTGATTTTCTTTAGCAGCTATAATATTTTGACGAGCCTAACACAAAAAGCATGTTTATTTGGCCATTCAACGAGTGTTTTGTTTTTCTAGAACGCGCCACTAAAGTGCCACACTGCCGATTTTGTTAGTGTATTTTTTTTTATTCGAGTTGTTGACCATAATTTTATGGTTTGTAAAGTCGCCTGAACGTTTTAACACAAAATGCGTTTATTCCATGCGGAAATCATTATGATCTAAGTCAACTTTCCGCAGGGGATGGGGGCGGTCAGGATGGTGACGACCGATGATAGTGTTCGCTCGATAGAAGTCCCCCGGGAAGTCGAATAAGAAAAAAAAACTAAAAGTTGTTCGATCTCGCTGGGCACATTACGACGTTGGTTGGTTTACGATGGCCAGTGTGGCCACGTTGATTTCAAAACAAAACGATAACAAGTCAACAGTAATTTACAATACAAAACTCCCAAAATTAAAACCCATACTTCAGTCCCCCATCTCAAGAGCCGAATCTGCCTGATCTCAAAAGCCGAATCCCCGAGAATCCTCTCGGCAGCCCTTTTCAAGACTGGTAGGGGCCTCCTTTCCCTCCAAAGACGGACCAATCACTTCAAATTTGCCCATTGTCACGTGGTACACTCTTACCCAATGATCAGCGAGCTGTCAACGTGACCCCCCTCCGACACCTCAACGGTCAAACACGAATTCTTTGTAGAGTCACTACATGCTTTCTTCGCCGTCTGGCTGGCGCCACCAAGTTAAGTTATTGCGTAAAGCAAAATTTCTACACT